ATATATACGACAAAGGCATAATGGATAGTAATGAGTGGGTGGTTGGCGGGTGCTCTGGTGTGGTTTGCTCCTTCTTTCCTGTCAAACATCTATCTTCCTTGTCTCTCCTCATTCAGTTTTATGTTTGTTACTTTCTTGTAACACATCTAATCTTTGGCGCTTTATATGACCTTATTGTTTTGCAAGTGCCGTAAAACTCTTACAAAAACAAAATATTTGACAGAGGCATAATGCATAGTAATGTATCATAATAAATCTATGTTATACAATCTTTGATATCAGAGCTACCCTTCTCCCTCCGAGACCTAACATTGACAACTCACTCTGCGGAACATTACAGCAACTGCAGCAAACCTGCACTTAGCTCTACATGGCATTGGACAGAAGGACGAGAGACCAGCTGTTGCTGGATTGATAATTATAACGATAACAACAACAGCATTAGTAACAACAGCATCATCAACAACAACATCAACAACAAGAACAAAACATCAACATCATCAACAACAACGACAATAATAACTTCAACAACAACCACAACTATAAAAACAACCACAACAACAAGAACAACAACAACAACTTCAGCTACAACAACAACAATAATAACAATAATAATAACATCAACTACAACAGCAACAACAACAGCAACAACGTCATCAAAAATAACAGCATCATCAACAACAACATCATCATCAACATCAACAATACAACAGCAACAACAACGACAACAATAACAACAACAATAACATCATCAACAATGATACAATCTGTTTTGTTTGTTTCTCTCTCTGACAGTGAAGCTGCCATCAATAATAACAACAATAATAACATCAGCAACAATAGCAACAACAATAACAACAACAATAACAACAGCAACAACAATACAATCTCTGTTGTTTGTTTCTCTCTCCAACAGAGAAGCTGCTGACTATAACAACAACAATAATACTAACATCATCAGCTACAACAACAATAATAACAATAATAATAACATCATCAGCAACAACAACAACATCAACAACAACAATACAATCTCTGTTGTTTGTTTCTCTCTCTCCGACAGAGAAGTTGCCAGTACCTCCACAAGGAGCTGCCCGTGAGAATTGCCCACCGGATCAACGGCTTTCGAAACCTGCCCTTCATCGTCGGCTGCCACCCAACTCTGCTCAGTGTGGTAAGTCAAGCTGTGTCTGCCCGAGATTTTGTTCCGTAAATTATAGTCTGAGATGCGGGATCTTAGCAGAACGTAGACTTTCAGAGTGAATCTGAGGAGGATTGGCATTGTGGACTGGGGTGTCTGTGGACTGTCTGCCCATCCTGAGAAGAGGCCATTCATGTTGAGGATAGGAGGGTACTAGGAGTTTTCATGAGACTGGAAAGATCTAACTGCCCTGTGACTGTAATTCCGGTAGGGTTCACGTTGCCCATTCCCCGCCACCAATGGCTACTGGCTAAAGTTTTCTATTCTTTCATGAGGTATTGGCCAAATGGGAAAGCCATTGGATCGTCACGTCCTGGGTCGTTGTGCCTCTACTAAGAGGTTTCACGGCCAGAAAGCAAGTCAGGCATTCCGCTCGGTCCATCCCCTTCACCCAGACACTCTCAAACTGGCTGGTGCCTTCTCAGCCACAGAGGGTGTGTTGATAAAAGTAGAAGAGGTGTTAGGCAGAATAGACACCCACTCAAGGGAGAGTAGGGGTGTGTTAGTGAGGAGCATAGCGTCTACCACGCATCGGTGGGTTCTGCCTCCTGCACCTTGTGGGGCCACACCCACTCCCATCCTGTTGTTTTAACCCCTCTAGGAAACGGGGGGGGGGGGGGGGTTGGTTTGTTGGCGCCAACAACTCGCCATTCGCCAGAGCCGTGTCAGTGCAAACAGGGACCACCACGGGCAGGTACGGTTGGCTGGATTGGGAGAAGCTGTTTGAGACGCTTAGGCATTTCTCAATATTTAAATGAGACCCATCACCAGTCCTTGATCCCCATCTGAGGAGGATCTAATGGGTGACTTTTATATAGTAAAAGTTATGTTTTCTTAGAACAGCGGGATCTTAATTCTATCTGTACGCCGCGTTTTACTATTGTATCCTTACAACGTGGGGAACTCCGTGCTACCACTTTCAAAGAGGAAATTTAGTCTTTAATCCGATCCGTACGCTTTGCGTAGCAGTCTGTCAAAATGGGTTTTTCTTTTTAGAAATGCTGAAAGTTTCAAAGAGATCTTCCTTCGCACCAGAAGTATTAAAAAATGTGAAGAGTGCAGCCACGGGGGTACAAAATGACCCCCGAGCGTACGGATAGGGTTAACATTCCTCTCTTGAGATGTTCCTCAACAAGGCGTTGGTAGCCTAGTGGTTACGCTACCGGACTCGTAATCGTGAGGTTGTGGGGTCGGGGGTTCGAGCCGCGGGCCCAACGTTGTGTCCTTGGGAAAGGCACTTTACACGAATTTTCTTCACTTCACCCAGGTGGGAATGGGTACCTGGCCATAGAAAACGAAAGATCTTGTCAGTTTGTTAGTGTTTTAGCTCCTGTAAATGGGCGCTTGCGCTGTATGCTTCCCAGGAAGTTGAGGTTGCTTCAGAATGCTCTCAGGTCTGCTGGGGTAATAGTATAGTATAGATTGTGAAGCGCATAGAGCTTGCTGTTGAGCGGGGATTTGCGCTATTCAAATGCTATCTACTAAGTCCGGCACAAGGCTTGCTTGGCTCTCAGTTGACTCTGGGCTGTCTGTGTCTTATTTAGTCAAAGAATGCGTATGTGTCACGATGCAGTGGAATCAGACACTCGTCAATTTTTAGGCATGTAGAGATATTGGTATCATTTAAAAGCTAGTTCATTTGTCTTGCTTTTGGCGCAAAAAAATACTCATCGCTCTTGAATAGGAGTTGAAATCTTTGCCATTGAAGGAAGTGGGATCGCCTGGCTTCAGATGTAAAATTGGCGAGAAAATGGCCACCAAAGTTTCAGGATTTCTAAAGGTTGAGAGTCCTGGGAAATTGTAAATTTACATTTTGTGTACCTTAAATAAAACGTTTTTCAGTTATATCCACACAGAAATGTGCTTTTTTATTGATCTTAAAGTCCTTGAGTAAAAACACGAAATTTCTATAAAAATTACCGATTGGACAGAAAAATTCCAGTTTCTTCGAAATCATTGTTTTGATGAACGCTTGATTTCACCACACTGCCTCCCATATATTCTTCCAGCTTATACTTTTAATAACAACACTTACCTGATTTTTTTCTCTTCTTTTTCCCCAGCATGAACTCTACATTCGAGCCTTCCACATCCTGAGTGATTTCGGCCCGGTAAGTTTTGTACGAGTTCTGTCTGAGCAATGCTTGCTTAGATTATGAGTAACTCACTGAGGACTGTGTGTGTTGAGTTTGTGAGTGTGTTTCTCTGTATACCACTCTCAAGCTAGTACAACATTTTAGGCAGAGCAGTTTTCAAGCATATGACCACAACAAAAAGGAACGACAATATCAATCCCATGCAGGGAAAGAAACAGACCACGATCTTCTGCCTACGAACAGAACATATACAGCTCTACTTCCACCTGAACAGAATAGATTCAATAGTTCCCCCAATATGTCCCTTGTGTGACTATACATATGAGACTGTGGATCATCACCTGTTCCACTGCACAGCCCTAAATGACATCAGAGCTACCCTTCTCCCTTCTCCTAACATTGACAACACACTCTACGGAACATTACAACAACTGCAGCAAACCTGCACTTATCACTACATGGCGTTGGACAGAAGGGCGAGAGCATGCTCTATGCGCTTTACAACTATTATTACCCCAGCTGTTGCTGGATGGACAACAACAATAACATTTCTTATTTACAAATGCATACCTGTAATAACGATGAACTGTTATACGTTCATGTGTATGCCCAACTGTGAGAGAGACTGAAGAAATAGCATGTGAGAATGAGAGAGAGAGAGACAGAGAATGAAAATGTTATTCTATCTATAGAGAACAAACGTTTTATCGAGTGTTTTATTCTGTCTGTAGCTGTTCAAGTTTCAGGTTTATTGTGACCGTTAATGATCAGTGAGTTTTTATTGCATTCTGTATGTGTCAGTTAACACATTGCCAGGCTCACTGCGTGACTAATTTTCTCGTAGAAATTTTTTTATCTTACACATATATACATAATACTATGTTTTACGTACACACATGTCCATTACTTTTAAAATATGATATCTTTATGAATGTAATGGGCATTGAGCATTTTTTTTCGAAAATGGAAATGCTCAGCATAAATGCCATTTATTAAATTGTATTATTATTGTTATTAATAGTAGTATTTTTGCCACCCTCATATTGGGTATAGGCCGCAGAGAAAGGTTCTCTCCTTAACTTTTGTTTGTTTTTGTAAAGTGTTTTACAGCGCTGGCAACTGCATAAGGTCAGATGAGCGCGCGGGACACACCTGATATTTTCAGTTGGTAGGAAATTTTGAATTTTGTCCGGGTGGCGGCCGAAGCCTACTCTTATCGATTTTAGACCACCAAGGGATATTTAACGTGCTCAACTTGCACACGGGCCCTCCGAGATTTTTTGCCCTTGTCCGAGAAGGCTAGGTGTAGATCTTTCCTACCAGAAGATCAGGGGTGTGGCAGAAAGACAGCAGTAAGGAGGAGCCAAGAAGTAGCAGTAGAAAGGCTGCAGAAAGAGCCCAGAGGAGGGGGCAAAGGAGGTGAGGGGGTGGGGGCAGAAAGTGGAAATGAAAGCAGACAACAGAACATTGCTAGAGAGCAGGAAAGGACGTGGAAGGAGACAATTTCAGAGAAGAAAATTTTTCGGTCGCTACCCAGATTCGAACCCGAGACCTTTGAATGAGAGGCCAACACCTTAACCTCAAGGCCACGAGAGCCCCCTCCTTAATTCTTACAGTACCGAAGGCTCATATATTATAGTGAAAAACCCTCATGTACCGCGCCAGTGTTAGAACACTGAAGCCGTGGTAGAATTTAAAAAAAAATTTTTTAAGTTAGAAGAAAAACCTTCATGTGGGTGGTTGGCGGGTGCTCTGGTGTGGTTTGCTCCTTCTTTTCTATCAAACATCTGTCGTCCTTATCTCTCCTCCTTTTTTAAAAAAATGTTCGGTGCTCTCTTGTAACACCTCTAATCTTCTGGTGGTCATGTGATCTTATGCTGTTTGTTGCGAGCGCTGTAGAACCTCTACTAAAACCCTAAAAATCTTCGTAGCCCTAGAAACACGCTGTAAAAATTCACAGGTTCATCAGCCATTCAGCTCTCATAAAGAGCGACTTCCTTTAGTATTTACTTCAGTACAGTGTGTCCATTCGTTGTTTAATTATGTTTAGTATGCCTGGTGGAGTGGCGACTTATGTCACCAGCAGTAATAAGCGCCACCTGGCAAAATTCAAAATTTCCTACCAACGGAAAATGTTTAATGTGTCCCGCTCGCTCATATGAAAACACTTACCAAATAAGTTGTGCTCTGGTATGGTTTGCTTCTTCTTTCCTATCAAACATCTATCGTCCTTATCTCCCCTTCTTCTTTTTTTATGTTCGTTACTCTCTTGTAACACCTCTAATCTTCGGCACTTATATGACCTTCTTGTGTTGCAAGTGCCGTAAAACCTCTACTAAAACTGAAAACATTACCAAAAAAAAAAGCAATTAAAAGAAAAAATGTTTGTATTGTTGTAGATCCGAGACCTGGACCAGGAGCGCCAGTGGTCGGAGGCGTTGAGGAATTTGTTGGATGACCACAAGGACGTGGTCACTCAGCTGGCGGAAGGCTTCTCGGAGTGTCGCAAATACGTCAGCGTGAGTCTGTTGTCTATTTGTTGGAGTAATAAGAAAAATAATAATGATAATAATAGTTGCATTTATATAGCGCATATCCATGCTCAAGAGAATGCTCTATGCGCTTTACAACTATTATTACCCCAGCTGACCCTCTGAGCAGGGTTGGGTTGATTTAAATCAGTTGTTTTTAAAAATTTAAATCCAGTGATTTAAATCACTTAAACAATTTTTTTTTAAATTCAGTTTTTACATATTTCAACATTCAGAATTTCTTTCCTTGGTTTTATAAAACAGATATAAGGTTAAGTAGACTAATATAAAATCATGCTTAAAAGTCTGCTTTCCCCCCTGTCACTGTAAAATAATACAGTATTCAATTTACTTTTTTTTCATAATCGAAATCTGGGTTGGGTTGATTTAAATCAGTTGAATTTTTTAATTTAAATCAACTTGATTTTTAAAATAAAAATCAATGATTTCAATCACTTTTAAAAAAATGTATTCAGTTTTTACATCTTTAGACATTCAGAATTCCTTTCCTTGGTTTTATAAAACAGATATAAGGTTTAGTAAACTAATCTAATCATGTTTAAAAGTCTGCTTTCCTCCCTGTCACTGTAAAATAAATACAGTATTCAATTTACAAGAGCCTGATTCCACCACGCTGCCTCACATATGTGTTCTTTGTTGTTGACAGGATGAGATTCTGATCAAGAGTTTCCTCGATAGGACCTTGACCTCAAGACTCGGGATCCGCATGCTTTCGGAGCACCATCTGGCGTTGCACGACGAAAAGGTACGATTTGATTTTTTTTTTTCTGTGTAGATGTAGATAGACACACAACGAGTTTGTTTTCATAAAAAGAATATTTGATTCATTTAATGTCACGTGTGACTGGGATTGAAACTCACCTCCTATTTCAAAGAAAGTTGAGAGACGTCAGGGGTTCAGAAGAAGTAAACAAAGCAAGTTTTAGAGAGACTCTGTGGTTTTTAGAAAGGTAAAGCAAGTTTTAGAGAGACTGTGGTTTTTAGAAAGGTAAAGCAAGTTTTAGAGAGACTCTGTGGTTTTTAGAAAGGTAAAGCAAGTTTTAGAGAGAGACTGTGGTTTTTAGAAAGGTAAAGCAAGTTGTAGAGAGGCTGTGTGGTTTTTAGAAAGGTAAAGCAAGTTTTAGAGACTAGGTGTTTTGGAAAAGAAAAGCAAGTTGTAGAGAGCTTTTGGGTGACTGCTACTAGTAAAATGCTTGCTTTCATCTGACCTTGTTTTATCAGTAAGCAAAAAAAATAATTTAGATTCGCTAATTTTTTTTATTACAGAGATGAATATTATGTTTTGTTTTCTTTCATCGCAATGAATTTGAATCAACTGACATTTTATAAAAAATAAGGGATGTGAACAAGGGACATAACTGTAACAAATCAAGCCAGTCCACATTTATGTCCCTTCGCCACCCAGCGTCTTGTCCACTTACACTGTCCCTTTGGGTAAAAGTAAAGTTGTTCCCACATCCGATCCGGACATTGGGGATTGCCTTGTGAGTGAGACAACTTCCTGGGCCTTCGGCATATTGTGGTAGGGTGGCCAGTTCCTTTCCACACCGCCTTTATTTCCCCAACTCGAAGTCAGGTACCCATTACTGCTGGGTGGGCAGGAGGGGGCGAAAAAAAAATGTGTCCAAACCGAGGCTCGAACCCGGATTTTCCGCTTCGGAGACGAGCGCACTAACCACTCCGCCACCGCACCCTTTGAATAACTGAGTGATAACTAACTGGGCATATCCCTGACTATCAGTTGTTGTTTCAAGCAAAGGCGGTCTAGCAGTCATTAGATGTCAAAATTTCTCAAATCTTCCTCTCTTCTGCCGTTTCACGACCTCGGTGTTCTCTTGTGGCATCTCTGGGGTTTTTAAACAGTGAAAATGTGACTGCTTCTCTTAAGCTCACTCTTTGTTATGAACTGTTTTCACTGTTTCGAAAAACGGAGATTCAACAAGCAAGCACCGAGGTCGCGATTATGTGGCATCCAGACTTAAGTGTTTTTCTTTTTTTAACGCTTTCGTTGCAGCCCAACCACGTTGGCATCATCAATGTGGCATTTTCGCCTCGTAAGCTGGTGGAGAAAAAAGCGGATTTCATCAGGTATGTTTGTGCTAGAGAGATGGGACTCTTGTCATCACCATCATCATTGCTATTCTCACCCTGGATCAGGGTATGGGCCACGAACAAACACTCTCCACCTTTCCCTATCCTGGGCTAGTCGCTTGACGTCACTCCACGTATTCCCACTTTTCTGTACATCCATTTCCGTGACTCTTCTCCTGGTTCCACGTGGTCTTCCTCTTGATCTTTTACCCTGTGGGTTCCAATCTAACACTTTTCTTACCCCCCGGGGCAGTGCCACTGACTGAAGTGTCTTTAGGCCATTCCCAAAGGGGGGACATATCTCGTTCAAGCACAGTAGAATTGTAAATGGGCTGATTCATGATTCATGTCACGCTCATAACTGTGCCTGATCTACAACAGGGAACTGCTGCTTTTTCTTTCCTATTCCTTACTATTGTCATTTCCCTCTACTTCTTTTGTATGTTTGTCACTCTCTTTTGAACTGCTATTTCCGGGGTGCCTTGATGGTCGAAGCAGACTTTGTGCTGTTGAAGCTAGAGAGGTGAGCAGAGTAAATCTGATTCCCTGTAAGGACTTCTCTGTTGACACCCACCCCTTGGTGCTCATATGACCGTATGCAGTTGCGAGCGTCGTAAAACACTCTACTATAACCCCCCCCAAAAAAATAAAAACTCTACTAAAACTACAAAAACATCAGGTATGTGTGTGCTGGGGGTGGGGGGCGGGGGGGGATGTGACTCTCATGTTCTTGGTATATTTGTCACGACGGGCTAGAATCAGGAGCGTGTCAATTTTCGAGCATCTAAAGTTGTTGGTATCACCTTAAAGTTTGTTCATTTGACCTTCTTTTGATGAACAAAAATACACGCCTATCTTAAGTAGAAGTCGACATATTTGCCATTGAAGGAGGTCGGAGTCGCCTGGTTTCAGAAGTATATTTAGTAAGAAAATGGTGGCCTCAGTCAGGTGATTTCCAAAGCTTAAGAGTACTTGGAAACTGAAAATTTCCTTTTTTTTTTTTCTTTAATCAATTTTTTGTCAGTAAAAATTACACAGAAATATGTTTTTAAATGGACATCTAAGTTGTTGAGCCGAAAAACAAAAATTAGAAAAAAAATCCCCCCTCCCCCTCCTCCTCCCCATGCCCCTCCCTCCTCCCTCCCTTCCCCCCTCCCCCTTTCTCTGCCTCCCCTTCCTCCCTCTCCTACCCCCCCCCTCCCTCATCCCCCTCCTCCCCTCCCCTCCCTCATCCCCCTCCCCCTTCCTCTGCCTCCCCTTCCTCCCTCTCCCCCCCCCCTCCCCTCCCTCACCCCCCCCCCTCCCCACCCTCACCCCCTCCTCCCTTCCCTCATCCCACCCTTCCCTCCCTTGACCCTCCCACAGAGGTGTGTGTGAGGCCAAGTACGGCGCGGCCCCCTCAGTCAAGATCAACGGGCACGCAAACGCCACTTTCCCGTACATCCAGCCGCCTCTGGACTACATCCTCGGGGAACTGCTGAAGAACGCCATGAGGTAAGACATCAGGGTTTTTTGTCTACTGCAATATACCTGGACTAGCTGGGCCCCCTTCCGATGAAAGGAATGATCGGTGCATTAACTTCAACTGAAAGTCATTGAGTAAAAGTCATTGGCCTACTATATCTACACTCCACTTGAGTGGAGCAATAAATCTTGAGAAATGGAAAAAATTTGACGGTCTAGATCTATACTCTCAAAACACAATGCTCCTTGCAAAACATCTCTTCCGGCACTTCCGCTGTGAAGGACAGCTACTCAGATTTGTTTCGTTTCTCAGTAGAATAATTAGTCACAATGGCCAAAGAGGGACGGGAACTTTTTGTCAATGAATATATTTTTTTTAATTCGGGAAATGATTGAATAAAAAATTGGGCTCCGTCCTGGGGACCTATCTGTCTTTTCGCAGGTACTTGCCAACTTTCAACTCTGTAACTGTCTTAGTTTTATGGGAAAAGTGACGCATGTGTTTCCAAGTTGCTAAATGTGAGGTGCGCTGACAAAATGAGTTACTTCTCCGATTTTAGCCTTATGGAAATTGATGCATCAACTTTATAGGTGAAGTTTGTACAATTTGTAAGTATGGAAGAATTAAAGACATGGTAGACTTGAACAAAATGGCATCAATTAGAAATCTATAAATCTGACCGCAGTGTCGATTTTTCGGCCGATATGTCCATTCTTGGACAGCGAGAAGTAACTCATTTTGTCAGCACACCTCACAAATATATAATAGATACCTGGAGGTGTCATCTCTGACTCAGAGGTTGACGTGTAATGACCCTCCATCTTTCACGGTCGTGAGCTGCCGTTGCACATTCTGCCATATCCAGGCCAGTCCATGTTCTTATGTTATCCATCAACATTATTCTTTGCTACTACAATATAGAGCATGAATATCCTTGAAAACAGTAAAACAAATTTGGTAGTTGAAATGTCGGATCATTTTCTAGAAGATTAATAATTTCAACAAGGTCTGAATGGCTGAATTATGAATTGAGACACGTCGTGGTGGAATTAGGCGCTCGTCAATTTTTGAGCATATGGAGTTATTGGTATCATCTTAAAGGCTGTCCATTTGCCTTGCTTTTGGTGAAAAAATATTCATTTATCACGGATACAATTTGAGATATTGGCGATTGAAGGAGGTAGGGGGTGGCCTGGTTTCAGAGGACAAAATTAGTGAGAAAATGGTCCCAAAGTTTTGTTATTTCCTTAGCTTTAAAGTGCATGGAAACTTAAAAATTACATCTTTTATTCCTTTAATCAACGTTTTTCAGTAAAATCCACACAGAAATGTGTTTTTTAAGGAGCATGAAAGGTGTAGAGCCAAAATACAAAAATTCAATAAAAATTCCCAAAGTTGCAGAAAAATGCCAGTTTCTTCATTTTCATTATTTTGACGAGCGCCTGATTTCACCACACTGCCTCACATTTGAGCTTTATTTTATTCAATTTTGTTTATAGATTCAGTCGGAACAGTATCAGTCTAAACACTTTTAGGACCAGGACAACTATTACAATAACGATTTATCAAAGAGGCACAACAAACATGTCGTGGGGGGCTCTTGTGGCCGAGAGGTTAAGGTGTTGGCCTTTCATTCAAAGGTCCCGGGTTCGAATCCGGGAAGTGATTAAAAACTTTTCATCTCTAAAATTATCTCCTTTCACCTCCTTTCCTGCTCTTTAGCAATGTTCTGTCGTCTGCTTTCGTCTCCTGCCTCTTTCTACCCCCCACCCCCTCACCTCCTTTTCCCCCTCCTCTGGGCTCCTGACTCTTTCTGCAGCCTTTCTACTGCTACTCTTTGGCTCCTTCTTACTGCTGTCTTTCTGCCCCCCCCCTGATCTCCTGGTAGGAAAGACTTACACCTAGCCTTCTCAGACAAGGGCAAAAAATCTCTGAGGGCCTGTGTACAAGTTGCGCACATTAAAGATCCCTTAGTGGTCTAAAACGATAAGAGTAGGCAGTTACAAGCGCCGTAAAACGCTTACCAAAAAAAAACAAGAAAAAAAAACGTATGTCGTGGTACATAATCTTTTTACAGTGCTATTATTATATACAGCCATGCCGTCCATAACATTTTCACAACAGTAGTGAAGGTAGGCGCTACGTTAAGAAGTCTCAGTAAAAGAATTTCTTTACAAGGGATAACATTTTTTTTTTCATTCAAGAAAAGGAAATAAAAATGAATACTTTTATCTTTCTCTTGAGTTATAAATCTAGCCTGGATGAGATTTTGTGAATCTTGTGTAAGTGATAAGTCTGATAAAACAACAGGTATGAATGAGTTTTTATCATTTCAAGTTGTAAAAGCAAAGTTGGCTTCCTCTACAATGTAAGCTGCAAGTTTCTGGCAGCACCACCATGTAAGAAATGGATGAGACAGGCGTCATTTTTGTACTGCGGTAGCCGATTGTATTTTTTGAAATTTTGAATTCTTTGAATAATATGGTCTCAAAGTAGATATTCTTTGGTGTGATATTGTCTCAAAGTAGATATTCTCTTGTGTGATTTACTGACTGGCAAAGAGATTTACTTTATGGGGATCATTACATTGAGCTCTTATTATTATTATTATTGTTATTGTTATTATTATTTATTATTATTATTATTAT